GAAGTGCTCAAAACTGCAGAAATCACTCCAGCGATTGCTGAACTCTCTTCATTCCAGGAAGCAAATAAGCAAAACAGGGTCCTGTAGAAGTGAAATTCAGCATTCATGCAATAAAAAGCGAAAGAATCAGACGCAAAACCTGATGTGCCATGATCATGAATGTACTGTATTTTAAGAATAGCTGTTTTAACCCTTATTTCAAACAAAATTTTATATAACATCTTCTACAAGGAGTATGAAGAGATTCAGTGTAAGAAGGACTCCCTGTTGACAGGTGCTCACTCACTCTTGGGACTCTTTTGATTAAGACAACTGAAAGATCGATTCTATGTGACACACTAGTAACATTAGGTCCTTGAAACTTGAAGTACTGTGCTCTTACACAACCAGGCCTTCTACACTTTGGAAAAGGAGCAGTATGCTTTCCTCCCTTTGAGCAGCCCTTTGATCACACAGAAATTAGTTCAAACCTCCTCTTAAGAGTAAGAAGAGGTCAGTAAATCTGTTTTTTCTCTCGAGGTGCATGGGTTTATTGTTACCTAACATGTCATTCTCCTAAAATGTCCAACGCTTAATTTAACTTGTGAATACGCTAAAGCACTGACAAGAATAATTGAGCAGAGTTTAGTAAATACCAAATGGGCACCCATTGACTGGAAGAATAACAAGTTTTTCTGTATGCAAATATTAACAGTCAGAGCAAACCTAGATATAGGAATTTAACACACGGACTGGGCAGACTGTATCACAGTTTCCCTCTCACTTGAGGTTTAGGAACACTAGTATTATTCAAAATGTCTTCATTCTTCTAAATACACATTTTACTCCACTGAAATTTGAGGGAGCAAATAGTGAGACTATGAACAAGTTTCTGCTCATGCATGGAATATTTCCTTCAGAGTGCCTTACTTTATAGGAACTTTAAGTTATGAGTGGACGGCTGAAAGCAAGGTCACAGCTAAGGCACAATGGCAACCACTGTAAACCTGTTCTAACTGCAGAATGAACACGTGGACTTATCGCGATGGCAAGTTTAGTTTTCAATTTTGGCAGAATAAGAGCCTGCATGTGGTGAGTTATAGTGCTTTAGTTACAAATGAGCAGCAGTTTCCTAAACTATTGTAATTAATCTAATATAAAATAATTATATAAAGAGGAAAACACTCCAATATACTTAAATTCTATCCTTCTCATTAAAAAAGTTTACAAACATTTAATTATCATGTCCTTACCTTCTCTCATAAAGATTTATACATGTGCTGACCCTCATCTCTGACACATCTGAAAAGTTTTAGATTCCTTCCTTTCATCCCAAAGTCTGACTTCCTATCCAGCAGTTGTCAGGGCTTTGACTGCACTAATCGCCCTGACCAGCCTCAGCTGGGGCTTCCACCCACACCCTCTGATGGGGACTTCATTTAAGCTCCAGCTTTAAGTAAAATCATAAAATGGTTTGAGAGGGACCTTAAAAATTGTCTAGTGCTAGCCTTTCCTTTCCCCCCCCAGGGCCCAAAGCCGTGCCCACCCCGGCCTTGAACCCTGCCAGGGAGGGGGCACCCACAGCTTCTCTGGGCAACCTGTTCCAGTCTCACCACGCTCACATATCTTCTTCCTAATATCTAATCTAAATCTACCCTCTTTCAGTTCAAAACCATTACCTCTCATTCTATCTCTACACTCCCTCTCCATCTTTCCTGTAGGCCCTCTTTTAAGTACTGGAAGGCTGCTATAAGGTGTCACTGAAGCCTTCTCTTCTCCAGGCTGAACAGCCCCAACTCTCTCGGGCTATCCTCATATGGGAGGTCCTCCAGCCCCCTGATCATCTCTGTGGCCCTCCTCTGGACCCGCTCCAGCAGGTCCATGTCTTCCTTATGCTGGGATGACAGAGGTGAGCTGCAGGTGTTCTTGCTGCTAGTTCTGCTCCTGAATTGCTGTTTGGGTTCCCTGGATTGACCTTGGAAATGGCTTGTTACCTTATCTTTGCCTGAGGGCCACTGGACTGCTGGACCTGTTGCTGCCACTGTTCTGCTTGCTGTTCTCCGGTGTGGTCAGACTGTGCTCTGTTGGTGAGGTCTTTGCCTGGCTTGTGTTGTGGTCACCCTCAGCTCCTGGCTTCCTTGTCCTGAGGAAGAGCAGCAAGAGCTAGGTGAGGCTGGTCAGGTCCACTTAGGCTCTGTGCACTCAGAACTCTGATTTTGTTTTGCTCTACAGCATGTTTCCAAAAATAAAAGTGCTACCCTCCCCCTGGCCATGTCTGCTGTCAGCACCATTTGTTTTAATCAAAAAATAAATACATTTCAGTGTGGCTCATTATGCTAAATGCAAGCAACAGGGGGCTAATGAGCATTGTGAATGAGCCATTAACATGGCAATCAGAGGTATCCTCAAGATAGATGCATTTCTTCTGCATCTTTCTTGGAACACTCAGTAGCATATACAGATGTGACCTCCTCTATTAAACTGAATTTAGGGAATAAATAGATTTAGATGTCTAACTTGAGTAGTTTCTTTTTGTAGAATTGTGCATTGTGTTACACTTGCAATTAAGAAGGAAAACTGCTACTTCACTTTGTGCAACTGGTGAGGCATTACTCTTAGCCTTCAGGGGACAAGAATGTGTTTACAGATTTAATGCTTGGACTTTTTTGGAAACTAAAACCCTCTCTCCCCAACCCCATCCCTCCATGTTTTCATCACAAAGGGGAAATGTACCTGAAATGACAAATTTACTGATGACTTCAACTTTGCAATTGATTTAATGTAGTTTAGCACTGAACAGCACTTTTTTTTCCAGAAAGGGCCTTCATCTTCAGCCTTAGCTCCTGCCTGATTTACCGTCCCTCATCTCTTAGGATCCCATTCCACAGGGAGCTGACATGCCTTTGCTCAAGGGAGTACTTTTCCTCAGTCCTTGTAAGAAGGTAGTAAGACCAGCCTGAAAGAGCATCAGAAAGACGTGTGCTTAGATAAAGAGCAATAGGAAGGAGGGGAAACCTACTGGTATTCTATAGTACTGAGAACATACCTTTCAAAAGGGCAAGGGAAAAACCTGTTCAATGTCTTAAAAATATTGCTACATTGAAGATTTTGAAAAGAGTCAGTTCTCTGCACATTAATATAATCGCCTCCACAGGAAGGTTTAGAGGAGATTATAAACTGCTAAACACTATAGGTGGAGAAGCAGAAAAGATGAGCACCTCTCCAAGGTGTTAACACTGGTCAGCAGCAAAGCCAGGAAAAGAAACCAGCAGGATACAGCTCCTAGCTTTTATTTCAGTCTCACTTCCAGGGTTTTCCCTGAATTGTAATCTCAGTTTGTGTGACAGGTTCATCTATTTAGGCCTAGTCATTTTTCAGTCTGACTTTCTGGAATCAGCTAAGAGCCAGCAGACAGCAGTTGCTATTGGAGTTTGCAGCATTTCTGGGATTTTTTGGGGGGTGGACCCAGCACACATACATAGCCAGAATTACTGAAGTTCTCTAAACAAAGCATAGAATACAGAGTTCAAACTATATTTGTCTTTTTTTCCTTCTGTCTCCCATCTTCACCAGTCCCTGTGGTATCAGTGAAAGGACATCCACGCAGAAAAACCCCCCAAGCTCACCCACTGAGAGAGATGTATGCAATCTTCTCCTGCCTTCAGCCATTTTAAGGTAGGCTTGCATCCCATGCATTTGCTCTGCAACGCTGTGACCCGTCCCCAGGCCAGAAGCGCAGTGTCTCCCCAGCCAGGCCCAGCGCTCGAGGGGATGCGTCAGCCCACGGCCCGCCATCACCGGACCCTCTGCTGCGCCGCTTCAGGCGACAGTTGCCTGAAACACCAATCTCTCCTCCCAAGCACGGCCAAGCGCTCATTTGCTACTATAATTTTTGATGTTAGTCCCAGAGCGAGCGCTGTGGGAGGCCTGGGTAATCCCACACCCAGCCCAGGCCGCTTGGTCTACTGATACCTGTGACTGTAACAAATGTAACACGTCGGGGATGTTATCACTTCAGGTGGTCAGAATCGTTGCACAAGCAAAACAAGTCTTGATTCTTTGTGCATAATTGGGGCGGTTGTAAGAGAAGAGACTCCTGAATAATCCCTTTAGGCCTTGGGAGAACAGGTATGCGAACTACAGAGATGAGGAGGCTGCAATATGATCTCGAGACCCCCAGCGACTGAAGGACATTACAACGATAGAAAAACCATTACTAGGATAAGCATTTCTTGGAAATGTAATTAATATGTGTGTTAACATGGCATAAATACCTACTAACTGTGTCTCTTCGGGGCATGTGTTTGGAGGAGAGATCCCTCACGTGCCTGGTGCCGTAGTAAAAAACATCTGCTTAATAGTCTTCTGACTACTGAGTCTTCAACTCCGGCTTTTCACAGCATCACTACAAAGAGTGTGGCCATGCTGTGGTAATGGCAGCCTGCAAACAGCCCAACCGCCTGGCCCCAGTCACAGCGATCCGTGCCACAAGCGCTTAAATACCATGCGGAGGGCAAAACTCTCTGAATCCCTCTTCAAAATTTGGGTTGTCTTTTTAAAGATTTTTTTTTTCTTCCCCCTCCCCCCCATATTCGTAGCTACAGAGCTGCCG